TGCATTTAATTTTAGAAAACATTTAAAAGCCTTGCTGAATATCACTAGAATGCTACCAAAGTCCAGCAAGGGTTATACTAAGTTTGTGAAATAATTCAGATGTGTGGCATGGGAAGGAATGCACTGCATCTTTTCCTCTCAGATGCCATTTAGAAAAGAATGTTCTGAATTGTTGAATGTCAGCTGATTTTACCCTGAAAGTAATCAAAATCTATAACATTTTTGATTTCAAGAGAAAACACAAATTAATGAAAGAAAAGATGATCTAGAAAACATTTCCTAATAACATCTAAGTGTTTCCTCAACCCCTGAAAAATTAAAGCCTTTCTGAAAGGAATTTACTTTTATTAGATTTTTTTGGTTGTGTATTTTTAACTTGAGGGGTTTTTTTTGGAAAAAGGGAGGAGGTGCTGAAAAGCATCAATACAAAGGAAAGTAAAGAGCACCCACTTCACATAATAATCTGTTTTAGAAATGTAATCAAGGCATGCGCTCCTCTGACTTTTGCATTACAAAACCATGGCTGCTCATTTCTGGTAACCTGCCATTTCTTATGCTCCAACCTCAGCTTTTCACAAGTTGTACATGAAAATTTCACAAGACAGCTACTGACTATGTCACAGTACGTTCTTGCCTCTCTCCTTCCAAATTTTGTTCTAAAACGTTTGCTGATTTTTAGTGGATAGCAACCACTGGGTAATAATACAATGCTGGGGTGCAGGGAACGGGTCGGAAAGGGTGAAAAGATCTCATGTTGTATTTACAGCAGAGCTCCTGGAGGTTGTGAGGCCAAGCAAGAGCAGCCAAAAATCCCAAGGGAAATGCAGAGAGCTGGGTCAAGCACTCAGCGTAAATATCCCCCTCCCACCCACACACAGAGCACTGTTGGTGAGCATGAGGGTGAGAGGGCCAGGAGAGAGCAGGAAGATGGTGCAAACCACTACTGAAAGCATTTTATGCTATGAAGCCTGGTATTTATTAGCCAGCTACCAGGAAACGTTTCCCTAGCGCAAGTGTGGCTCAAGGTGGCTGCAGGCTGCTCCAGGCAAATACTTAGGTAAATCCTGCCAGAGGAGGTAATTCGGGAGCAGGCAGGTCTGAAACTTCCCTGCTCCCTCGGGCCAGCTCTCTGGAAGCTCTAGGCCACACACCAGCTGTGATTTATGAGGGGCGTATGAGCTAGATTTATGAGCTGGAATACACTCAGATTTTCCAGGTATCTGGAAAACAAGCTAGGCTCCTCTTCTTCTCCAGCAAGGTCTGGAAATCCCCTAAATGCATGAGATCTTCAAACTGTCAGCACAAAAGCTGACGTAGCTGAGGGAAGCCACCTGTTAGCCACCATGAGCTGCTAAGACTCTGGTGGGCTATCCCAAAGCGACGTCCCACAGGCACCCTCCTCCAGAGCATCTTAAGGCACTTTAAGACTAGTAGCGGGGCCCCAGGCTCTCCCTTGCCCTGTCTCTGCTGGACATGAAGCTGTGCTGCTGCTGTAGGGTCAGAGATGTCCATGGTGCCTGAAGCACGATCTTGCTGCCGTTTCCAGGCTGCCTCGCGTGGCAGCTGCCAGCTCTGGCTGTGCATAAAGTCAACACCTTGCAGAGCTGGCTTTCATCACCTCCTGTCCTGTTAGCATCATGCCTAAATCTCCACTTCCCCTCCAAATATAAAAAGATCTTAACTTAGTCTTTCCCCTCCCCATCAAGGGGGAACATTGACCTCTTGGACACTGGCCCTAAATCATGACAGGGATTTGGGGTTTTTTTTAGATTAGTGTGGGGAGAGAGAGTTTTTTTTAATTTTGTCCTGCCACTCACAAGGTGGGATGCCACAATACGCACAGCTTCCTCCTCTGCTGCCTCTCTCCTCACAAAATGCAGATCTTCCAACTTCTCTCCAGACCCTCAAACTGCAATTCAGTTGTTACACATGCTCTCCCCTCGCTAGCTTGTCTGTGCAGGCCAGCAGTCAGCTATGTGCCTGTCACCTATCAAGAACATTCCTACCTCCACTGCCAAAGCAATGCCCACTCAGGCCCCCTCCCCAAACCTGCTGTGCCCATGTCATCCCCACCTCTACACCACCAGCACCTCCTGGGCTTCCCTGCACCTTCTGGCAGATGGCCACAGAGACTTTAGTGAGGTTGTTGTCTCCTCCTTGATCGGTCATGGTCTCCCCGTCCAGGATGGTCTGGCACAGCATAGGTGCCCTGTCTGTAGACGGCTGTCCATGCCGTCTCCCCACCATTAGAGGTGGTTTCTGCCTCTTGGCTAATAACTTGAAAGTGAGAAAAACCCAGCTTGACAGTCAGCTCTTTACCGTTAGCCAGGGAAGGAGAGTGGCAGCCGACCAGCAGGACAGACAGCAGGCATTCATGGCATCAGGTCCAATAGCGGTCACAGGGACATTTTACACCACGACTATGGAGAAGGGCAGACTATCAGAGGAAGACTGAGGAATTTGTATATTTTGTCATGGAAGACTCAGAGCTGAGAGCATTGTGAAGGGCTGGGCTTCTAGGTACAGAGAGAGAAAAGGGTAAAGAACTTTTCTTCTCCTGACAGAGAAGATAATACATGGATTTATGGGATCATCTAGATTCCCCCTTTGGTTAAACCAAAGTTTGGCATAACTCAGAGACGTATATTTCAGAAAGTGCCAAAGGCAAAGGTCTATTAAATGTTTTACACCTATCTATGTTCATTCCTCATGATTTCAAGCCCTCAATAAATAAACAAGGGGATACTTTCACCTACTTTTACGGTCCTCCCTTCTCATTGTTTTCCTTGAAGCATCCTGGTTTCTCAGAACCTTTCTCAGATTCTGTCACAAATTTCAGCCTTTGTTTTAAAAACAAGGTTCTATTGCTCACAGTTAGGGGGAAAAAAGATGAACCTGTTAACCTTAAAGTCAAAATGCAGAAGTCAAGCCAAACAAGTCTAATATTTATCTTCATTCCACAGCCGATTATTTTCAAGCCTATCTTGTGATTTAGGGAGCAAATCCAGTATTTTGAACGGTGAGGCTTGTCAGGAGTGGCATATGAAGTACACGAGGAAAGTAAGCTGTAAGCACGTTGTACTTCTACTGCAAGATCACTCTCTGCCACCGACAACACAGGAAGCGTTTCGGAAGAAAATCATAGCTCTGAATGCAGAGATGCATGCCGAGTGACTGCTTTGCCTTGCCTCTGTCACTCACACTTCATTAGGTAATCAACCTGGCATCTTATAAATTTTTTAGTTTTTCTACGCAGATGGGTGTTCTTTAAGTCCAAGAAAAGTCAAGTAATTGAGTGGAAGCGCACAGCACGAGCAATTAGTATACACTGATTCTGCCTGAACTCTTTCTTCCTCCACTAAGGCACGTTTGTAATGATAGTGATAAGCAACAGGAGTTTAGTTTATCATCTGCCTACACTCTTGATTTTATAATTTACACAGGCATTAATACACCTATATATAAACTATAGTTAAGGAATTACCAGGAATTAGAGCTATTATACAGCATATACCTCACTAATCTCCAGTTTTCTTCTTAAAAATTATTCCAAGCAGAACTTAACATGGACTGTAAACCAGCAGCTCTTGGCCTGCGGCTGATGGCCTCCTGCTAGCCCCAGAAAGCCGTGGCTGTCTTGGAGCCCCACTGAATGGTGTCATTTACTGCCTCGTGTGATAATGGCGTATACCAGGGGGCCCCAAACATTCGTTTACTACTGCACCGCTCTTAATCCTCACAGTTTCATGTTTTGTATTGTGGAACCATTACCAAACCCATCAGTGAAAATAGCGCTGCTGAAAGCAAAAATTTGTCTGTTCAAATGACACCCGGGTGTTTTATTAGAAGGAAAAATGTTTTGGCTTGCAAATCTTGGGAACCTGAAAACTTTTAACACCACAAATACACCCGAAATGCATTTGTAGAGATCTAGAACTTCCTTGCAATGATGTCTCTCCCCTGCTGGCCACATCCATG